CATATTTTCCTAAAGGCCAACTGAGAATGAGCCCACAGAGGAACCAGGTATATTGCTATTGAACAGCAATCTGTTCTTTTAATCAAGTACTGCCTGTTAACTGGAGGTTAATTAGAGCCCTGAAATGAAGCACTGAAGTTGTGCAGGGATCTGAAGACACACTTTACAGCACCTGGGGCACAGAGGTGGCTGATGGCATGGCCAGAGCCCCTCTGCTGTAGCCACTGAAACCACAGGTACAGCTCTGCAAATCCCAACACTCTTGGGAACAAAAATACTCAAAAAAAAGAAATAAAATGGAAAAATGGGTCCTAAATCTTTACAGAAAACAGAGACATTGCCAATTTTTGAAACATATTGAAAGGTGAGGAGTATCAGCAAATCCTCCCAGAAGACAGAGTGCCCATGAGCTGCAGCCTCAGCCAGGACTGACCATGAAGTGTCACCAGTGCAGGGCACACACCTTTCAAGGTGAATCTCTCCACCAACAAGCACAGCCTGCCCAGCCTGCTTGCCTCCCCAGGCACAGCACCCTGCCCTGCTGCAGCCAAGGCCCCCTTCCAGACAGGAGCAGAGCAGCAGATGAGCCCCACTGCTGCTCTCCACCAGCCCCAGCGCTGCCCCAGCCCAGCCAGGCCAGAGGGAAAAGCAGATTTTCCCTCTACAACTGCATGGAGATGATCTACCCAGAGCATGGAGATGATTCCTCCCTCTTTGGGGACTCTGCTTGAGTAACAAGCCCTAAAGATCCTGCCATGCAAACATGCCCAGAGCTCATTTAAATGAGAAGGACACATAGCCACCACAAGGACCTCGGGGAGACAAACATCCCCTAATTGTGAGTGCTGAAGGTTCTCTTTTTTTATGGTAAGTGATGAAAATATGCTGAGGAGTCACTGAGACACAGTTTGCCCTGGAGTGCTGCTGGTTTTTATTGGGCCATCTGGGCTTTACTGCAGTGCAAACAGCATCACTGATGATTGTTATTAACAACATTATAATCATTAACAAAATGCAGTGCTCAGGTTTCGGGTGTAGTCTGCCTTCCTGCTGCACAGCCCGAGCTTTCTGACAGACTGAGATTTATTGGGCAGCCCAAAATCCCTCAGTGTGGAGAGCACAAGGTCTCTGGGTGCCCATCACCCAGCCCTCCCAGCACAGGGGCTGCACTTGCATCTCAAATACTCTTTTCTCCTTCATGGAAATGATCCTGGCAGCAGCTGCCAGTGCTGCTGTCAGGGCCAAACTCCACCTTGCCCTTGTCACAGACAGAGTCACACCTTGCTCACAGGTGCACAGGGTTAGGAGGACACCCCACCCTTCAGAGCCTGCCCCACTACTCTGCAGGTGAGCCCATGGCTTGCCTGCACTCAAGCAGAAGATGGCACATGGGGGATATGTGTCAGGTTGCCAAAAAAACCCTAAAAAGTGCAAAAAAGAACCACCCAAAAGAGTGTATTTCTGTTACAATATGTATATGGCTGCTCATTACCTAGACAACATGTTTGATGAAGTAAATGAAAATCAAACATCCTCTCCACCAGCTGTTGCCTCACTCTTTTTTATTATTTTTTTTTTTTGGTCAGGACATTAGATTTGTTATGAGTATCAGTGGCTTTCTGGTTTCAGCCTCTTTTGGGGAGAAGCTGTTAACAGACAATGCTTGCAGCAGCAATCCTGACCCTGGATGCTTTTTCCTGGAGAGGAGATTTCCACCAGAGCTCATCCCACCTCATTTTGGGCACTGGACTGGGACTGTGAGTTAGTGACAGCTCCAGCAGCATCTGAGGAGGGAGCAGAGGGAAGGCAGGAAGACAGCTGGTACAAGGTGTCCTGCACCAGTGTGGAAGGAGAAGCATTTTGGTCTGAAAATGCCAATAATTGACAGTATTGAATCCTTGCGTGCCTGAGGAGGAGGAAAGACCAAAGCACCAGCCCAACCACCTCCAATCCTGGCTAACACAGAGCTCTCCCTGGGCACATCATCCTGGAGGCATCCAGGGCCCCTCTCCAACTCCAGCTGTGCCCCAGCCCTGAGCTTGGTGTGGAGTTCAGCTCTCCAGAGCACCACCAGGAAAGCAGGATGGTGCTTTACCACGTGTCTCCTCTGTTTGCACACTCAGTCCTTGGTAACTCACAGCAAACCGTGGACTGAGTGCACTGAACACAGCTTGGTTCAAGTGTGGAGTTCAGCTCTCCAGAGCACCACCAGGAAAGCAGGATGGTGCTTTACCACGTGTCTCCTCTGTTTGCACACTCAGTCCTTGGTAACTCACAGCAAACCGTGGAGAAATCCACATCAGAGTGCACTGAACACAGCTTGGTTCAGGATGCACAGGACAAAAACACACAGGGGGGAAAACAAAATCCATGTGCCTTTGTGTGGATGGTGCCCCACCCTGCAGCGTGGCACCAGCCCCACGGGAGCCAGGAGCCCCAGCTGATGGGAACTGGCAGAGCTCCAGGGCTCCCCAGTGAAGCCAAGCCAACCTAAAGACAGCTGCAGACTGGGTCCAAAATACAAAGCCACAATAAAGGCTCCTTTAAATTATTGAAGACATACTCACTTCTGGCTCCCATGGCTGCTTTTACAGCTCTCTCTCTCCATTCTAAGCATCATCACCCACCCCTCAAGCAGGATTATTTTGCTTTTCAATTGGACTTTGACTCAACAGCAAATTTAATTAACTGACCTAATGGACTAGAGATGTGGATTAGAAGAGAAAAGAAATAAGAAATAATTCCAAACAAAACACACAACAGAAAGAACCACCACTGCAGCAAAAAAGAACCCCAAAGCACCTAAGTTAAAAAAACAACAAAACTAAACTATGGCCTTGCTATGCAGAGATGCAAAATAGAGATCTCATATTGCAAGACACCCACACTGCCAAACATTTGTTCTTGATTATCTTTTAACAGAGGATCCCAAAGCCCTTCACGAGCCCTTAAGCTGAATAATACTGTAAGGTGCCAAGAAGGAGCTCTGTGGGGAACACCACAACCCCTTCCCAGACCTTCAGAAACTCATTTCAGCAGAACCCCACAGATGCACACAGGAATAAACTGGTGCTGCACTCCATGCTGCACTCCACACACCTCCACCACCATCAGGAGCCAGTCTGTCACCTGGATGAACACTGAATGTGGCTTCCTCACCATGTCCCCTGATCCAGAGCCCTTGTGACAGACAGTGCAGGCACTGACCCAGCAGCAGGCTGCACACACCAAACCATGGCCAGCAGCCCTGGCTCCAGCTCTCTGCTGGCTACACCAGCCCACATCTCACACCAGTGTCCTGGGCACAGCAGAATGCCCAGCCCAGGCAGCGCCCTGCCCACCCTGCACCCCATCCTCAGGCCAAGGGCAGCCAGGAGAACCCGGCCCCACTGCTCCTCCCAAAGCTCTGCACGTTCCTTCCCAGCTGGGCAGCTCCTGGGGACGTTTCTGGCCTGGGATTATTTATTGCAAACTCAAAGCAAGCAGTGTGTCAGTCACAAAATGAAGCCCCACTCAGGAGGCTCAGCACTGAAATCAGCGTGACACGGTGATGGATCAGCCAGGCTCCCACTGGCTCACTGGGAACACTCCCCTTTGCACAGAAAAAACCTCACAGATCCACCCATTAATCCACCTTCATTCACTGTGCTGAGCAGCAGAGCTCCCCTCACCCTCCTGGCTGCAGAGCTGCTCCCTGTTTGCCTTTTCTGCTCCCAGCAGGAAGGGGGGGAGGCGAGGAATCCAGTGATTCACATCTGTCACAGGATCACCTGATGGAAGCTCCAGGAAAAAATCCATCACTGCACGTGCAAGGTGCAGTCAGGGTGACATGCATGCCAAGCAGTGATTAATTACAGGTGTTTTGCTGAGGAAATTTCTGAGCATGAAGGGCAACATTTAAGCTGCTAATCAGCATCACTTTTTGTTATAACATGTTTGAAAACAAATGAATGGGTTGGAATAAGTCTCCTTGAACCAGCTTTGACAGCTGTATCTTCCACGTAAAAAGTAAAATTAAAAAAATACTTCGAAATACACCCTTTCAGAAGCAGATTCTTTTCACCAAAAGAAATGATGGAAAGTTGTCAAAAAAAGTGTTTGTGAAGCATGAGAGTCCAATGCGGTAGAAGAGTGTGGGCCCCACCACGCAGCCCCTCTGACCCTGCAGAGGGCCAGAAGGTCTGACCCTGCTCCTGGTGGTGCCTGAGCTCCACAGCTCCATAGGGAGGGAACCCCACCCTTCAGAGGGGTCCCTGCAGCCCTGCTCAAGGCTTTTGGGGTGGGAAAAGGCAGAGAATGCCACCAGCCTCAGCAGGTCCCTGGGCCAGGACAGCAGCCCTGTGCTCTGCCACCCCTGCTCCCAGCACCAAGGCTCCACTGCCTGTCTTCATGCCTTGAGAATAAATACAGGAGACCCAGAAACTGCTTAAAAACAGGAATTCCTATCCCAGCCAAGCCCCTCCAGTGCTGACAAAGCTCTTGAGTGAGGTCAGCTCTGAGCCTGTCATGGACCCAGGCTCTGTGGGCTGTGCCTGGGTCCATCCCAGCTGTGCCATGCAGGGCTTGGCACAGAGCCCCAGCCCTTCAGAGACACAGGCATGAGCAAGCCCTGCTCACAGAGCAGCTGAGGTCACTGTGGAACACCCTTAGGTGCACCCCCTCACCAGCAAACCACATCAAGGAGTTATTCTGCCAGTGCCTGGGCTCTGGGATTGCTCACTGCTGTCCCTTCCCTCTCCTCAGGCTGGACTCTGCCAGGCTGGGAGCCACTGAGAAGGGCAATTGATGCTCCTCCTCTTCCTCTGCACAGGAGCATTTTGAATGGGACCCAGCAAGCACAGGACCCACTCCCAGCCAGGCTGGCAGTGCTGGGCACAGCTGCTGCAGAGGACAGAGTGCCAATTAAGCTCCCCAGGAGACCCCAGTGATGGGCACCCCTTGCAGGGTGGCACAAGAAGTCTCCTGCACACCACAACTGCTGCTACCCCCACCTCACTCACCTGTGAACACCAGGCTGGCATTCTCCAGCTCCTCCTGTGGAACCTTGAAGCTGAAGGACTCATTGTAGAAGGGATCTATCGTGCCCCTCATGCAGGAGGTCTTCTTGGTTTTTGTTAATTTTAATCCGTGAACAAGCTGAATTTTCACAAAGGGATCTGGCAAAGAGCACAAAGCACAGGCCCTGTGTTATGGGGATCATGAGTCAGCAGCCCTGGTCACGAGGATGGATTGTGCTGGGAAATGCCCTTTGGGAATGGCTGGGACTTGTACCCCCACGCTGCTCCCAGAGATTTGCAGTGGGCACAGAAGTCAGGCAGCCAGCTTAGAAACAGTCCCTGCCAAAAGCACAGCTAATGTCAGCCCTGACATGCTGCTCTTTTTGGAAAATGCCAAGATTCTGGCAGCAGCAGAGGCTGGGGCAGGAACGTGGGAAGACCACCTGAGGACAGAGGCAGCTCCCAGGCAGAGTGGCCAGGGCCAGCAGGGAGCAGTGCCCACGGCTGCCTCACACAGCACAGGGCATCAGAGCTCTGCTTCCTCACCTCAGCCTGGCTCAGAGAGCTTTACTCTGAATTTGGCAAACCCTCCACTGTATCTCAGGGCAAGTATTCAAATACTTCCATTATTGTTGTCTATACATCCAGAGCCTTGTATTAACAGGAACTGAGCATCAAATCCCCCTGGGTCCCCCACAAACTGCAGCTTCACTGATCTGCTTTAAAGGCACAAATAATCTGTGCATGAGTAATGTGAGAAAGGCACTGCCCTTTACCTGAACCTTGGCTCATGTCTGTCTGAAGAAGCTGTTTTGCTCTAATGATGTCCACGTTCAGTCTTCCTGCACTTGGTAGGTAGTTCAGTGACAATAGCAGCTCCCCCAGCTCCACTTCATTCTGCAGGGAAAAGAGAATGTGAAGATTTAGAACAGAGCTCAGAGGGGAAGAGAAGGGAGAGAAATTAAATAAATCCCATTTGTCTAAGTGCCTGAAAAATGAATTTTAGTCACGCTCTGAATTGTAACCAAGAACCATCTGTTGGTACCTCGTGCTAAGTGGGAACAAGAAAGGAACCATCCCCAAAAGAAGCTCTTTCTCCAACCACCAATCCTTCAGCAGCTTCCCAGCAGCCAGGCCAAGAGGACCTCTAAGGAGGCAGGGGTACAAGGTCAGTAGCTTCTGCCTGCTCAATTTTTATTGGTTCCAGGTAGTTCTGATCTTACCAAGGTGCAGAACACAGACCCACGGGAGAAGACATTCCCTTTCCTCCCCAGCCCCCATGGGCCACAGCAGCCACCTGGGAAGTTCATGCAGTGGTTAAAGCACCCCTGGGTGACAGCAGGGCAGTTCAGAGTCCCTTGGCATCACCTGGCAGAGACCATGGCACAGCCTGACTGTGCCTTGGCATCACCTGGCAGGGACCATGGCACAGCCTGACTGTGCCTTGGCATCACCTGGCAGGGACCATGGCACAGCCTGACTGTGCCTCGCTGCTCACCAGCCTGCCCATGGCCACAGCTCCACAGCAACAGCTGCTCAGCCACCATTCCTTTTCCTTTTACTTAATGATGCTTAAAACTAGTCATTAAAGAGCTGGAGAGCTCACATCACTGCTCCTCAGACGTGAGGGTTTAAAATAAGCTCTCCTCCCTTGCCACGACCTGGCTCAGAGAGGCTCTTTCTGCCAGGTGCAGAATGCACAGGCTGGAACCACTCTGGAGCCTGGCAACACACCAGGCAGGGAACGGAGCCAGCTGCCCAGTGCCAGGTCCATGCAGGAGTGCAGAGCTAGGGCTTCATCCCAAACAGCCAGACAGTCCAAAACCAGCCTAGGTCAGGTGTCAGAGCCCATTCCAAGAGGAAGAGGAGCTGCAGTGGTATTGCAATCATAACAAAAGGCTTGAATATCTTTACTGATGCCCCAAATATTAGATTACAGAAACCAGAAACTATGGGTAGACAGTAAAGTAAAAGGTTCTCAGAACAGCCACAGCCTGAAGTGACCCAAAGAACCAGGTTCTCGTGCCAGCACACAAGGCACAATCCCTGCAAAGACATCAGTGGCTCGGGGAAACTGAGGCTGGGAAACCCAACCAGGAAAAGCATCTGATTTCTTAACTCAGATTCCTTTTGTCACAGCAGCTTGTGGGTCACACTGTGGGGCAGCACTGTGACTCCACAGCACCCTCACCCACATTTCCCACATGCATTTTCTGTTGTTGCCACCCAGAAGTCACCTCTCCTCCATCAACCTGGGCCAGCTCCCACACCACAGTGCTGTTCAGTAGCTGATGTTTTTAAGTCCTTTCCATCACAAAGCCACCCCAGCACACACCTGACCCACCATGCACACAGTACTCACATACCTGCACACACCTGCCCTGTGGGGGCACAACACAAGGATCCAGGAGTCTCACTTCCCAGGTGGTTTAAACACCATCTAATTGATTCAAACTATCATCTCGCATTTGATTTTGCCCAAAAATGCTCCTCTCAGGTCTGTGGCTGGAACAGCCTGCAGACATGTTTATCATCAAGAACAGTCAGTGATTTTTAATCCTATTAGCAGGACAGAGTGGAAGCATCACAGTGCCCACACCACCACCCTCAACAGGAGCCACACGAGGCAGCCCTCCACCCCAGCTCATTTTTTATAACACATAAACAACATTTTTAACAGACCCAGTCCTACTTGCATTCACTGCTGGCCAGGTTCCATTCAGGCTTAAATTCCTAGAAATTCAGGTGCATTTGGGAGTGCAAATTAGGAAACTGCTCAGTGATTTTATTACCTGCTGGGGAGAGACAAACAGCTCCAGCTGCAAATACCAAACTTCTGGCACAGCCAGGTGGCAGGCTGGCATGGGGCAGTGATGTAGGACCTTTCCAGTCACCTCAAGCTTAGAGTGCTGAAAATCTGCATTAAGATTTGGGATAATTACTTGTGGAGCTGTCCATTGATGGAACCTATTGACCTTATCCAAGAACTGCAGGAAATAAGGCGTTTCCCTGGGCCAGAGAGGAGAGCAAGGGAAGGCAGAGCTCCCTGCTTCCAATTCATTTGCATTTCTGATCCATTTACAAAAAAAAAAAAAAAAAAAAAAAAAAAGCCTGATGCTGTGCACTGACAGTGTCAGGCTGGATCTGGAACACCCACTCGGGCACTGGCAGGAGAACAGTGTCCCATCATAGGAGAACCATGTTCCATCATAGGAGAACCGTTTTCCATCACCCTGCGGAGATGATGGAAGGAGCCCCTACAGTGTCACCATCACACTGCTGCCCAGCCCACCCAGCCTTCCACAGGTACAGATAAAATCTAATTTTCTGTAGGACCTGACCTAACAGGGATTTTGGAACCTCTAGAAAAATCCTTTTGGCTATCCAGGCTTAAATTTGAGTAAGGAGAGCTATAAAACACTATATTCTGTGATCCACTGAAGACAGCAGGCAGACCAGGAGCAGCTTTAATCAGATCAAGCCTGATCTCACAAATCTCAACAGCACCTCCTGGCACTTGGTGCTCTCCAGAGTGCCCACACTGGTGCTGGTTATTCTGAGGGGAGGAACAATCAAAGGCCAGGGCAGGATGGGTGTGCTCAGAGAGGGGAGAGCAGCCCCACCAGAAGGGTTTCCAGAAGGAAGGCTGGATCCCGGAGGGCTCAGCTGCCCGCACAGGTGACTCAGCCTTTTCCAGCACTCAGCAATGCCCCTGATGCTCTAAATGCATCACTCCCAGCCCAGCCAGAGGATGTGGGAACCGCGCTCCGAACATGCCCCGGCTCCTCGGGGATGTGAGCCCCAGGATGGATGAGTGGCTGCTGTCCCCACGGGCTGGCACTGTCCCCGCCGTGCTGTGCTCTCACAGCTTGTCCCGGGAGACAAGGCTGGGAGTTGGGCGAACCAGCAGAGAATTCCCGGTGCTCCCGGCAGCCGGGGGGGCAGGCAGCAGGCTCCAGCTCCTTCCCGGCTGGCTCATGCCATGGTCCCTCTGCCCATGTGGCAGCCTTGTCACCCAGCTCGGAACGCTCCCAGGACCAGCGGGCCCAGGGACAGCCGAGGGGCACAGAGCATCACCACCCCTGTCCTGCCCCACCAGGCATCCCCAGAGCTCCTGCAGGGCTGAGCGACAGGAGGGGATGGACTCCTGGGTTCATGCTGCCATCGCCGCTCACCGAAGGGCAAGGAAGTGCCTGGATTTTGTGTTTCCTAGGTCTTTTCATCAGGAAGGCACAGAGCTGTTGGTTTTGCCGTCGGTGTTTGCCCCCAGCCCCAGCGTGCAGAGGTGCCCCTCTGTGCTAAGGCATCGGTGCAGCTGCCATCATTATGCTGATGACGAGCTGACTCGTGCCCAGGTCCCAGATGACCCTGGAAAAGCAATTTCCTGTTTGATGAGATGCCGGAGTGACACCAAGTCTGGGATGTCTGAGCCTCTCCTGAAGCTCTGATTAACATTTCACTCCCGGCTGAATTACACTGCCAGGTTGGATTTGCAGCCTTGGGCTCGCCTGGGATCCAGAACCTTCTCCAGTTACTGCCTGGGCTGAACCCAGAGGTTTTGAACCAGAGTTTTTTCTGTTCTTTTCTGTCATATCTGAAACACAAAGAGGCTCCCACAAAGGAAAATGAGCTTTTACTTAATGCACATCTTGTTTGGACCAGCTAATTCCTTCCTCACAGCCCCCCAGACTGCTCCTTGTGCATTGCTACAACACCAGCAAAATTCTGCACTGAAACCCTTCCCAACAGGACCCAGAGCACATTACATCAGCACTGACATCTATGCATCGCTCCTAATGAAGTTTCAGATTGATTTTCCTCCTCAAGGTTATCTGTGTTGGTACCTCCAGGCACATTAGAAAGCTGATGGTTTAGAACAGTTTGCTCTAGCAGGTTTTCTACAGCATCCTGTGACACAGCCATTGTTTGGGGAAGGTTGAGCTATTAAGGACCAGAACCTGAGAAAAAAATATACTTACCAATGAATAGGAGCAGTGTTTCCTACATAACTGGCACCAACTGGATGTATGATGAAGAGAATCACAAAATCCCTTCTAAAGCCAAATGGTCTTTGCCTTTGAAAGGCCATGAGAAAGCCTCTGTTGTGCAAAAAGCTTTGAGAAGAAGATATCCCATGGAGAGGTCCTGCTCCTGGACCCCAGCAGCCTCTCCTCTCTGTTCCTCCTCCACAAAACACACCCCCAGCATCCCAGTTCTCTGCAGGAAGGGCAAGGAGTGAACAGCACCGAGGGGAAAGGATGAGGTGACCAGGAATACAGATAAGGTTAAAGAGAGAACAGTCAAGAAGAAAAATTTTTCAATGCTCGAGCTTTACAGACTCAAAAAGGAAAGGGGAAAAAAACCCACTGAAATGGAACTAAGGAAAAACAAACATACAGAGTGAAATAGAAGAAGATAGAAAAACACAAGCCAAAATACAAAAACAAACCACAGCTTAAGAGGTAAAAATGTTGTTATCATGATGGACAAACACCCATCACAGCATCCCATCACACTTGTAACTCCAGTGACCTACAGGGTGGGGGTATCCCAGGACCATCTCCTCCACTGGCCACAGGTAAACTTCCAGGGTGATTTTAACATCCAGCTGATGAGCAAACATGGCCCCATGCAACCACCTCGTACCATCTTGAACAGCAGAACTGACAGGTCATTCCAGTGCACTCATAGTATGAAGTTAAAAAAGCAAGTCCAATACACACTGCCTCTACTATAAAAATGGCTTAATTTGAGGGAAGAACGAACTTTGTGCTATTTTCCCACCATAACTAGGCTTTTTTTTTTCCCCTCCAAGCTCTCATTACTGCTGGTCTAAAACATTTATTCCTGCCCACTCAAATCTGCCAAAAGAGAAATGAATCATATGTCAATAAAACTTGGGGTCCTGAACATGTGCCTCAGAATTCCTTTCAGCGGCGAAATGTGCGAATCTGAGCCCAGCTCCAGAGAGGCCTGCCAACTTCATTCATGGCAATTAAGCAAAGCCACACACATTTCAGGGGATATTTAAGGAGTGCAGAGTGTTCCTATGGGGACTGGACTGGAGAGCCTTTCCACGAGCAGCTACTGGGTTTTAGAAAAGCAGTAATTACCCTGCAAGAGAAAGCCTCCCAGAACTACCAAGGATAAAGAACTTGGCAATACCTGCACTGACATTTTCCACAAGAAGTCCTTCTGCTTAGCTGCTGGCTCTGCTGATGCATCAGGCAGCAGCTCCCTGTGCCTCTGCTTTGGGCTCGATCCCTCTAAACACTGAATGTGGATCCAAGCTCAGAAAGTGTTTCTGTGCAGGTACAAGCTCCTGCCCGAGGCTTGGCACTGGGCACTCTGCAGCTCTGGCTCCTCAGGCTCAGAGGACAGCCTGCTATTCAGGCTGTACTGCTGTTCAGAACCTGTACCCAGGTTCTCTGGCCACCCACTGCTGACAGGGAGCAGGACAGTGCTGCTCAGCACCTCCTCACACCAAGGAAATGCTCTGCTTGCCACTCACAGCAGCTCCCTGAGCTGAAGAGATTCCTCCAGCAATCAGGAGCTGTACATCCCACCCACAGGCCTTGCTGCAGCTCCCAGAGGAGCCAGGAGCTGTTGGCTGGAGAAGCTGGACCATGCTCCCCCTGGGAGAAGCTCACTGTCCCTGCTGACACTGCCTGACCAAAAGGTTCCTGGCTTTCCCCACCTTTTGCAGCTCACAGGTGCTGGCACAGCCCTGTGCCAAGGCAGGTCCCAGCCCAGTGTGATGGTGGGACAAGGACCTGGCACCTGACTTCATCAGCACACTCTGTGTCAATGGCTTCCAGGCGGAGACAGCAAGTGCAAAGCAGATGCTCATCTCAGCTCGTGTCATTTGGGCACTTCCTCTGCTCTTTCACAATGCCTGCCACCCTCCCACTCCCACCAGTATGGAGAGGAAACTTCTCCACAGCTCCTGCCATCTGGATTCACTTTCCTCCATCTCTCTCCAGCTCATGATGTTTCTGTCTATAAATTCCATAAAATAAAATTTTAAAAAAGCATCTCGTGTCATTTGGGCACTTTCTCTGCTCTTTCACAATGCCTGCCACCCTCCCACTCCCACCAGTATGGAGAGGAAACTTCTCCACAGCTCCTGCCATCTGGATTCACTTTCCTCCATCTCTCTCCAGCTCATGATGTTTCTGTCTATAAATTCCATAAAATTTAAAAAATCACGTATTTTGTGTGTCTTTCATCTTCACATATCATGTCTGTGACTGCCTGTGTTTCTCTCCCTGCTGTTAGTGCTTTTCCAAGCACCTGCTTCAGCCTTTTCTCCTGTGGCTGTGGGGGTGCTGCCAGCTGCTGCTCCATGTCACAGCCCCAGACTGGCAGATTTCCCTGACTGAAGATCAGACCTGCACCACAGTGGTTTGTGGTGCTCTCCAGGATCCAAGGATGCCTTCTGCAAAATAAAATGCAACCGCACGTAGACATTTATTTTTGTCCCTGTCTATCAGCATCTCTCAACACAAAGCACACTTCAGCAGGCTCAGGTTCAATCCAACAAGAAACTGATAAAGGCTGTCGGTCCCTCAGCTAATCAAGCAAAAAAGTGAGAAGTATAAAAAAATTGTCAACATGTCAAATCTATCATTCCACAGGCAGAAGGTTCCAACTAGTATTAAAAAATCCCTCAGAAATTTCTAGCACAAACATCACTGTTACTGAAAGACATGAAAATGTATTTTTTCAAAGCAATAAGCTTTATTGTTTTACTTCCTCCAGGATTTATCTTAATCCTTTGATCAATTAATTTAATCACCACTAGGATGAAACATGCCTTACTCAGTGAACTTTAAAAATTTTATCATTGAGAAAATATGGGAAGATGATGCCAAACATCATCCCTGGATGTCCTGTACAAGCACTGTTAATCCCTTTACAGTTGCATCTGCCAGCTGAGGTAAAATCAGCAAAAAGGTATGAGAGGACCACTTTACTGCTCAAAGTGTGGAGGAATTTTTGCTGAAGTTTTTCCATATGATAGCAAGGGGACAAATGCAAAAGGCTTTTAAGCCTGTGCGTTCAAATGGAGTTTTGTCTTTCTCTTTCCTTTTATAAATATCAGAAATGCCAACTTCTGCATAAATAATTTATCTTGAATGCTGGTGAAGCAGACAGCACTGCTGAAAACAGCATCAGCTTTCAATGAAACTTTGGAGAGGGGGAAAGGAAGAGCTGACTCCCAGCTTGGCACATGAAGGCAGAGATGATCTTTTCTAATCAAGGTCTGTATTAGCTGTGGAATGAGTCCATGATACTCATAAAGAGATGCAAAATACAGAGAAGTATTTATCATGCAAAAGTAGGGAGCAGGGGGAGAAGCAAAGCTGCATGGTGGGAACCACAGGAGGATAATGGATGCAAAGCCATTCCCTACATAAACACAATTCAGGGACCCCCTGATTCTCACTTGTGCACAACTTCCAAACTTTCCTTTCTTGCCTGAGCACTGTTGAAGCTAATCCCACAGCACTCCTGATTCAGGAAATCCAGCTGGCTCTCCTGCAGTCACCTGGAGCCTGATCCCCCTCCCCTTTGTACGGTGCAGCAGGTCTGAGTGAGAGAAGAAAGTGCTCCCAGCCCCTCTGCACACACAGAGCCAGCCCCAGCTGGCTTCACTTCCAAACACTGCTTGGGGTATTCCCCTTCCACGAGTGTCTGATGAGAAATTTCCACTCCAAATCAGACTCTTGAACCCACAATGTAAAACAGCAGTGAGGCCAATGATTTACTGCTCATTTCATCCAGTATCTCTGGCTACAGCACTCTTCTGTGAACACCTAAAAATCAGTTAAAAACTGAACCATCCAACAGGGTTTAATTCAGCAAAGACTCCTTGGAAATTGCAATTTGTGAGCTGGGAAGGAACTGGGAGAGGCAAGCTTGTTACACCAATCCTGTGTGGTACTGCTGTCCTCAGTAAAACACTCAAGATGCTGATCACACTCTGTTCTTCTCTTGGTTTCTCACAGGTTCTGTGCCTCTGGCTCTGTGGGTGATACCACCAGTGGCAAATTTGGTAGGCAATCACCATGCCTGGCTGCAAAGCTCAGATCTTTCCACTGAACAGCCCTTTCCTGAGAACAGAGGTGAAAGCACACAGACCCTCTGATCTCCCCATCCCACTGAATGGCTGAAATGCCCAAGATGCATGCAACTTGCACCAGACAAACATTATGGCAAATTTAGATCCTTTAGGGACCTGATGAAAACAAATCTACCACTGCTTTGCAGGTTATTGTTTAGGCATTATAGCACAGGTCTGGGTAAATTTCATCTTCTACATGTTTTATTGAATCAAATCATTACTGGCACCAGTGGTTCCCCTCGTGTCCCCAGAGCACAGGAATGGCCTGGGTGGGACAGTGTCACAGCCCCCCTGAGAAGGGATGCAGGTCACTGCAGTGACAGGAGACACCTGCCCAAAGGTGCACACTTCAGAGCAGTCCTGAGTTCTACTCATTTAAGCTGACATAGGATCTTTGATCATGACTATAAAAGACAGCTCCTCTACCTCACATTGTTAGTCACAAAACCAGTCACAGGCCCACATAATTCCCACCCAGCAGATGCTGTGTTAACAAGATGACAATTACTAATTAGAAACAGCATTACTTGCCAACAGGCAAAGGAACCACACATGCACACAAAAACCCCCAAAACAGCAAGAAAAACTGTGGCAATAATCTGATAAATTCTGTTACCTGAGAACTAGGCACAAGGGCTTTCCACCAGTGTCCACCTTTCACAAGGTCTACATCACTCAAGGGCATTGACACTTTGCCAATAACACAGTGGCGTGAGAATTTGTCAAAATCCACTACAGTTAAAAGCAGAGTTCTTCTCTGGGCTTCTAAAAAGGGGATTTCAAATGTGTACCTCTCCTCAAACACCGGGTTCTGCGTTTTGCGCTTCACTCCGGTCTGCTTGGAGTTCTTCTGGTCAGGGAGGAGGCAGATCTTCACATAGGGGTTGGAGTGAGCCATGTCTTGCCTTGAGCCATCGTAAGAAATTGGAGGAGGCAGATCTTTAGCCTCAATGACTCTCACTATTAGGTAATTATGCAACAGATCATACTGTGTGCTAAAATGCAGCATGCCCAGCTGGTACTTGGACAAGATCTCCTCATCTGTCAAGGAGTCCATGTCATCACTATTTGAGTCAAGAGAGTACAGCCTTGGTTCAAATTTTCTAAAATAGTCATCTGGGGTGTAGGTTTTCCGCAGGATAGTTGGCTGAACTATTTCTTTCTTAGCTCCTATTATTCCGAACTCGATGGGTTTGATGTCAACTAGTGGAGAACTTGGCCTCCTCGACTCCAGACCTGAACGAGAGAAACACACAAACGTGATTGTTAGAAAACACACAAATGTGATTGTTAGAAAACACACAAATGTGATTGTTAGAAAACACACAAATGTGATTGTTAGAAAGTCCACTAAAGCAGTTAGAGGTGCAAGATTTGGGTGCAGCTATTCTGTGTCCGTGCAATGCCAGCACAGGCTCCACAGAGGGGCTTTGCCAACACTCAACAGCACCCTCAGCCACGCTGAAGCACCAGCTGGCCTGCACCTCTCCCTCCCTGTCCATCTGCACGTGCAAGCACCACGCTCGTGCTTCAGCAAGAGAAACAGGGCTGGCCCCTTCCACCGTGCTCCTGCAAAACAGGATGAGATTTTAACCAGTGTGCCTTCAGCCTGGCTTGGTTCCCTGTCCAAAAGATGAAAGAGCAAGCAGCACAGTTTGATTTTCTCCCCCACAAGAAGGACATTAGCGGTGGAAGGACGGCCTTACTCGAAATCCGCCGCGTGAGGCTGTACGTGGACCGCGACGTATCCGAGGACGAGCGCCTTCTGTCAGGGGACACGTCCTGCAGAGCGGGAGGCAGCTCGCTGATGGCATTATCAGAGTCTCCGTCTTTGTCCTCATTTTGGCTGCTTATCCTGTTATAATGAGAGACCTTTGGATGATTCAGCCCAGCACAAGGAGTGCATGCAGGATAACAATGTTTGGCATTCTGGGGCTGGCCTTGGGGCTCGTCCCTTGATGCCCTGGGGTATCTCCTGATCAGTCTGGCAAGCAAAAGGCTGAGCAACCGACCTCAGACCTATGTAAAAACCAGATTCTTCACCTTTCTGCCTGTCTTTCAAACAGTTTTATCAGTATTACAGCATGACACAGGCTACTAAGGCTAACTCAGATGCTGATCAGAAATATTATACTTCTCTCTAAGGAAAAAAAATCAAACCAAAACCCCACAAACCACAAACCTCAAACAGTAGCTTCCTGCTGTAATTCACAGCTACACTTTGGAAGCACAGACTTCACTAGGAAGGAACCAGCACAGAAAATCACCATGCTCAGATATCCCAAACCTACCACACACCTCCTGGTAAAACACTGCAGGTTTGCCAGTAAAGTTTCAAAACCTGATCTTACAGACAAAATTCATTATTTGCTATTTATTGTCATGCCTTTTAAAATATTTGGCTGCTTTTTATCCACTTCTATAAACCACATGTGGTTCTCAGCAGAAAATAATTGTACTGCCCAGGGACCTTGGTGGGAGCAGGGAAGTTGGCAGGATCTAAATGACAAAGCAAGCTCTGTAGCATCTTGGAGAAGACTCCACAGAAGGCTGGCATCATAGAGAAATCCACATATATACATTTAAACAAACTGAAAGGGGAGTTACATGTACAGACAAATTACTTTTATCTAAAACAACATTCTGGTTAAAAACCCCAACATGTCCCAGCTGCAGTGGCTCCTGAAAGAAGTGAGGATCTCCCAACTTTGACTGAAAGCAGGGCAGGAGCAGACAGTGACAACTGCAGGAGGTAAAGTCTGCAGCTGTGTGCTCAGAGGGGAGTGCTGCTGATGGAAATGGAATCTCACAATGGGTCCATGACGTGTGGTGCATCCTGCAGAACAGCCAGGCCACCAGAAAATAAAATAGCAGCAGATCACAAGGAAAGCATCAGCACAAAATGAGCAAAGCAAAGGGGAATTCTGTGTGAATTTTGCTTCCAAGCCACCCTTTCTATGTGCACAACTCAGCTGGGTATAAATGAAATATATTGAATCATTTTCATTAGTAACCAATGACTGGAGCAGAGCAATTGATATATTCTGCTAAAGGCAGTAAACTTGCATAAAAGCCCAACAAGCATTAAGAAAACAAACAACTCCAAAACTAACTGGAAATTCTTATCCAAGCCACAAAGTTCACAGCAGGATCCATGCAAATTTCACCAATTCAGACTCACACAACTCATCCACACTAAAAAAAAATTCTGTTAATAATGAAAACCAAACCCTCTGCTAAAAGGGGTGTACAATATTTGCACAGCTCTGCAGCCCATTAAAGGCAGTCCAAACCATACAGTTTGATATATAATCAGTACTTGGAACACAAATAGCTTTTTCATGCCTAAATGCAGGTCCACACAATCACAGGTGGCATTTGGATATGCTTGTGTTTGAGAAGCAAATGCACAGAACAAGGCAGGGTGAAAAGGGAATCAGGAAGAGAGGCATTAAGGATGTTCTACAATGGGTAAACGTAATAGTGAGTTAATAACATACAGATGACCTTTAGTAAGGAAATTGCTACTGAGCCACAATAATTTTTCCTCAAATAAACTTTGGCTCTGGTTAAAGCAGCTCTGTTTCTGTTTAATCTGAACCTTTGGGAAGAAGAGTTGTGTCCTGATTTCAATTCAGTCTCACAGTGTGCACTGTTTATCTTTGGGGTTTGTGTAGAATATTCCCTTACAAGCAGCTCAAACATCCACCCTCGTTCCCAGGCCATTTCTGCAAGGACCAGGGTGGAAGTGCTCCTCATGAAATAACAAGAAGTTACCATGCACTCAGGTCATTGCAACTGGACTCATTGCAAGAATTTACTTTTTTTTCCCTCAGCTGCCACTGCAAAAAATTCAGAAAGTGAGAAAAATCCATATTCTCCCAAGAGGAAGGGCTTAACCTTGCAGCTTTATCATCCACTCCTGAATTTCCAGGGCAATGAGGTGTCTCAGAGCTGCCAAAGGGAAAACCTAGGGCCAAAATATAGAGGATGGGTCATTAACCACAGGCGTTTATATGTTTGCTCATTCACCAGTGAGGACCATAAAAACAGTTTTCCCCTGGGGAGTGGGTAGGAAGGTGAGGAAGGCACAAATTGCATTCTACATCACACCAGTGTCTCAGGCCCATGAAGAATAGGCAGATGGAAAGAGCTCAGCTGAAAACATAGATCTATTTTAAAAACACTTTCACGCTGCAAGCAGGGAATACAATAAATTGATTTGTTCCCAAATCCAGTGCACACATCTACATGCAAAATAAGGGAACATCAGACCTGGTTTTCATTGTAGGGGTTTCCACTAAATACAAGATCCCCCTCTCCAAAAGTAAGAGAGAAAAAAGAAAAAAAAAAGAATGAGGGGTTCAACTGGTATACACAGATCCCTGAGATCCCTGAGCACTTAAAAACATTAAAAATTTCATTCTAAGAACAAGTCCAATTTCTTACTCTGAGTAACTAACTCACGTAACTCCAGAGATCATTTCCTACATCCAAAAATGCATATAGAGATATAAAACTACAAGATCAACACAGTGAAAACAGAATTCTTCTTTGATTTCTGAATTCTGAGTCAACAAGGGATCATTTCCACCTTAAACATGCACACAAAAAGCTGGGGTCAACTATTTGTCAGCGAACAAAATACACCAAATCTGGCTCTTGCCTTTTACTTTCTTTTCATCTTCCAGACTCTTGTTCCTCTACAGGCTCATTTTCCACCCTCTCCTCTCAATCACATCTCCTTAGGGAGAAGTAGAGGATCTATCTCCTCTCTGTCTTATCTCCTATCTCCCTTTGTCCTTCTCACTTAAATAATTTTCGTGCTCCCTCACCATTTTCCAGCAGGATCACCCTGGAAGCACAAAGCACTCTCACACTGCCTGGCACCACTCTGGGTCCATGCCAGCTCAAGAGGAGCCCACAGCATTTTCCAGCAAGCAAAGCCTCCTCTGCAGCTTGTGCAGGACTGTGTGCCAGCAGGCACCCCAGGGATCACAGGAGTGCAGGTGTGTCACAGCAGGGGTGACTGCAGTGACCCGAGGCACGGCAGCACCCAGGTGTCCTGGCAAAGCAAAGCCACTTCTGTCCTGTATCCTCTGTGCTGCCTGCTGCCCCTGCCAGGCTTCACCTCTGGGAACTCAGCTTCTCTCAGCATGGAGCAGAACAGGGAGACCCCAACTGCACCAAACCACCCAGAGCTGGGTGGAAAGATGGAGAAATGGCCTGGGCTGGGTCACAGGGACCCTTCCCAGGGCTGAGAGCATCTGAGGGTGAAGCAAAAAGTGCAACAGGGCTGAGGAACTGGGTTGTTTTTCACCAGAGAGTGTTGTCCTCTGCTTACTGCCATTCCATGTAGTTATTGTAGGGGCTTTCAGATGGAGCAGGACCAGGGAGAAACAACACAGGCTGCAGAGAGAATTTTACAAGTCCAAAGGTCTCCATGTTCTCTGCCCGTGGCCAAGTCCAACTCATCTGCAAAGCCACCACAGAGCTGAGATTTGAGAGATAGGAACAGGGCTTCAGCACTCACATCAGCCCTTTAGCCAGACAGAAGAATCCAAGAGTCAAAACCTACACCCTGGTACAATCACTCCACACCCCAAAACAGGCAGGATGTCCCTTCCACTGCTCAGTCCACCACATAAGCTCTGAATCACCCTCTCACCACCAGCCCAGCTTCTTGTTCCCAAGATGTAATTGCTCCTGCACCAATCTTTCCACGTCCAATACTGCAGCCTCATCACTGTGCTCTCCTGTGCGTGATGCTTTCCTATTTAGCATTGATTTTGTTTCCATTCCCCATTAATTGCAGGTGAATCACTTTCTGAGCATATATCAGACTTTTAAATATGCTGCTCCACATCTAAAAACCACTCTAACACATCCTGAACAGCTCTATTTTTATTGCTTCAGTATTAATTACCATCCTGTTCTACCTGAATTCAGGAGTACATGGACAGGACTGCGATTTAAACATGAGAAAATTTATTTCATGCAGCACCAAGACATGACCCTTCCAGAGCTGACACAGAATAACAGCACATACTTACAGGAGTAGGAAAAAATTACCTGAGTGCCTCAGTGCCCAGGTACCAAAGTCTGAGCATCACACAATGCACTGAGCAGGCCTCTCCTGTGCCACAAGTTCTGGACAAGTTGAAGCAGTGTCCATCAAATGATCTGCTCCACAAAGCCCAGCCCAGCTGACAAAACAGCCACTAAAACACCAGAGAGCTCTGCTCCCCTCCTGGTTCCACTATTGCCTCCACAGGGTCACCTCTGTGCTGCAGATTCCTGACTGAGAGGGAGTAAGAGGGAAGACTTCACTGACTTCCTTTGTAGTGGTTTTGCAAACATACCAATCAAAGCTCCAGATAAGACCTGGTGCTGTGGTTCTTTAATGATTTGAGAAGAAATTCTGAAGAGTACTACGGTGATGCAGGAGATCAAGTCCTGCTAAATGAAACTTTAAATGAATTTCCCCTTCAGAGCACGTAGGAGCTGTGCCTTTCATCTGCCTATATGATAACCACCTTCACGCTAGGATAAGAAAGTATTTCAAAACAACCTCATCAGCATTTCAGCCAAGTTGAAGTGCTCCAAAGGGTTGGTCCATTTGAAGAGGAAATAGGACTGAAGATGAAAGGCATCTTTAGAGAAGGGGGCACAGCTAAACCAGTTATCCTTGTCAGGCCAGCTTAGAAAACAACTTCTGTCCTATCCATCAGAAACGGTTTTTACAAAGACTAACCTCGCTATTTGAGTTAACAGAGCTGCCCTTTTTCACCATCATGCCAGGAGCAGCCTGCCTTCCCACCCTCAGCAGGTTCCTGCTCTTTAAGTGGCATCCTCTGAATGTTCTGTTGCAATTCACATCAGTACCCCCATCACAGCTGAGCAGTCCTACTCCTTGGTTAAAGCTAGGAAATCGTGCATCCAAACTTACAGCCAGGCTGGAGTTTGAGCAGGAAAAGGTCCCAGGATTTCAACTTCATCTTCATTTGTTTGGCAACAGCTACAGTCAAAACATTTCTGACAACAATTCCTGCAAGTCCACCGGCACAGCAAGAGATCCGAGATGCGAGCAAGCAGACCCTGGAGCCATTGCAAACCAAAGTACAAGATTACAACCCATCAATAGCTATTGAGAAAAAGCACTCAGCTGTATTTGTGTTTGTGTTTCTGCAACAGAACATTAAGAACTATATTTATTTCATCTATACCAACAGACAAGTGCTATGCAGTTACCAGCCCAACCCCACTGATGCCATAACAAGGCAGGAAAATAAGCATTCTCTGCAGGTATTTTCCCCTCTAGTAGCAATGTATTATTATGTAGGTTGGCAAGAGGGTGATTTACAAAGCACTATGGCCCAGCAATATGTTGGAGTGGAAACATGCATATTCCTCCACACACATCAACAATCTAATAGATCAGCAAACATACGACAGGATGAATTAAAACCAGAAGGTAAGTGAAAGCTTCAATTTAATCCAGCAAGGATCTATTTAATTAACACAGCAATGTGAACACACTTCATCCCTGTAGATGTAGCAGTAATATCTGTACAATCCATACACATGGAGCATTACAGCCCAACAAACTCAGCCCTAAAATGGATTAGCCAGAGCACACTATCCTCATGCTTCTGCTCTGCTACCATGATTAATTTAATGAAGAACCTTCAAGGATATTTTTAGAAGAATAGTAGACCCAGAAAAGTCTCTCATTTCTTAGGTTTCTGAGGTGGCACTGGCAGCCCCACTTGTAGCAGGGCTGTGCCAGCTCCCCACTGGAGCAGCAGCACCCTGTGGCCCCATTTCCACACCATCCCCACAGCCTTCCCCCACTTCAAACCTCTGCTTGGAGAGGAGCAGAGAGCCAAACCTCAGCTCATTTCCCACCCACACCAGCCCCAAATCCTGCTGTTCATGAGAGGGCTCATTAAGCAGCACAAGGGCTCTGTGGGCGCAGTGGGAGAGGCAGCTGCAAGGGCACAGCACCTGCACCCAGTCAAACTGCTTTACAACTGCGTGTGACCTTGAGATGCTCCTGAGAAGCTGAAGAAATAAAGTGCATGAGAGATTCTCCATAGTTATCTCCCCAAAATACTCCAGACATTTGCAGTATTCATGAGTGTGGACCACATGGAGGGGTTTCCTCAGAGGAACCTGATCTGCAGAGAAGACTTCATAGGAACATGGCTTTTTGCTACAGTAAAACACACATTTTTTTTCCATAAACAAAATCTGGGCACTGCAAACCAAAAAATTACCAGCCCAAAATGCAGTGCATTACTTATATCTAGGACATCAGTAAAGAGTCAGAAAACACGAGACAATCCCCTCAGGATGGAGCAAGCAGACAGAGCGGGGAGTGAATCATCAGATTAACTCACCTCATTTATTGGTTCCAACTGTCCTTTTAGACATCCAGGATGAAGCAAAGGGGAACAAAATGAAAAAGACAAAAACAAGTTAGCAATGCTCAAACAACTTTAAATTTTCTGCCACGACATGCCCCAGCCTGGGATGAGTTTGAATTTCTGGCAAGACAGGACCTTGCAGATGTTAGAGGAAGGAGAGGCCTGACTGGGCATCAGCTTCTGCCATTTCCAATCCTTCCCTACAAAGCTCCTTCTGCTCCTCCCTTCCCACAAACAAAACTCCCAAACCCATTCTGAAGCATGAAAATCCTGGTCATTGCTTCTTGCTAATGGGTATCACATGCAACCACTTATTTTGTTTTCTTTAGTAACCTGACTCTAATTGCAGCAACTACTTGCTGCTGACAGCAAACCATATCCAAATTTTTCAACAGAAAAAAAAGGCTTTTCTCTACATTCAGCCCATATCAATGGAGTTCCAATGCCAGCTCTCTAAGGCAACGTTTCTAGGAAGGGGAACAGACTGAATTCTCTCCATTGCATCTCTGGGCACCTACAGCTTCATCCTCAGATGTGACTTGAAGAACACAAAAGATAGAAGTTAAAGGCTTGAGTCCCACACTCCCATTCAAAAATCTGCACTGCAGACGTCTCCCCCAAGCCACAGGGAAAATCTACAGCAAAGGAAGAAGGCATCACAAACCAGCTTTTTATTCACAAAACCACCCTTGGTACTTTATATACATATATAATGGACCCATTTCCTTTGGAGACTCCTTAGCACTTCTGATACCTGCTGAAATGTCTTATCCATTACATTACCTTAATAATGTCTAAAAGTTTCCTATTTGCCCTGGCTGCCTTTGTATATGGGGACTCCCTAAAAAAAACCAACTACCAAACCAATACAAAGCCACAGAACAAAACAATACAAAAAAACCCCACAAAAAACTCCATCCTACTCTTCCAAATGTACCACTACTCTTCCAAAGAGTACATCCTACTCTTCCAAAGTTGGTTCCTAGCTTCATGCTCATGGCATGACATGAGCAGCCTTTTCTGAAGAAGCTGGCATGCAGAAGTTGCCTTTAGTTCCAAGAACTCTTGCCATGGACCACGTTTTGGTGCAAGCCTTCCTTTTAAACTTCTTGGAAGCCAGTGCTTGTCAAAAAAGCCACCACTTGTTGGGAGCAGTTAAAAGATGAGAAGAGCTGTGGTGCAATGAGACAAGACAGTGCTTACAGATACCCATGGGCCAGCTGTTTAAGAAAATGCTAGATGGTTAAAAGGGCTTTATCATTCCTTATTAATGCAAAGTTGCAGCCAAAGCTCCAGTGGTTTAGCAGAGCTGCAAGGAGGATATTGAAATTGCTCTGAAACAAAGCGGCTGGATCGGCGCCACGCGATCGAACGCCGCGCACGTGTCACACAGAGAGGGCTTTTCCAAAGGGCCCACGGGGACACGGCGGGCTCACAGCCAGCAGCCTGCTGCCCACCATGGGTCACAGCCCTGGGAAGCCAGCCCTGCGTGCCACAGCCCCGAGGGCACACAGCCATCCACAGCAGGGACAGAGTGGCCACCCAAACGGGAGGGCAGGGACAAGGACTGAGTGTGACAGTGCTGGAGCGGTAAACAAGTCAACGCAGGGCTGAAATGCAGGAGCCCATGAAAGGAAAGCAAACACGAGCACCTGTCCACACACGTCGCTCGCACCAGGCACGAGGGCAGGGCTGGGGAAGGACAGGGATTGGGGAAGGACAGGGCTGGGGAAGGACAGGGCTGGGGAAGGCTGCAGCAGCAGGCTGGTGCTGGGGGATCCCCGGCATCACAGCAGCTGCCGTGTGCTCAGCAACCCCTGGAGAACGGCTCAGTCTCCAGGGTCAGGGAGGCACCATCCTGCTCTGCCACGTCATGCCAATTGGCCGAGCAGAGAACGAGCCAGATGGGAGTCTCCAGCCACGAGCGATTCCTCATCGAGGGCCAGGCTGGGGGCAGGGCTCCATCTCCACAACCTGCTGCAGGGCCCCTGGGGGGGGTTACCTGCTCCAGGTCAGCAGAGCCGCCAGTCGCAGCCAGGTCCTCGGAGCAGTGACAACGAACCACCGTGGCAGTACCCCCAGGGATGCTGCAGCAGGGTGGGGTCCCCGCTGGTCACAGAGCGCGTTTTGCCCCCGCAGTTACACCCCAGGAAAGGCTCACAAGCTCCATCGGCAGTGGACAGCGCAGCCTGGGGACAGCGCGGTCCCCTCAGCCACACATCCCCCCCACCCCACCACGACTGAGGCGCTCTGTGGGGATAACGGGGTGCTGCTGACGCCCTGCTCCGCACCCGGGTACCCCCACCTCGTACCCAGGGGCCACGACGGCCCCACTCGAGGCCCCGCCGAGCCGGGGGGCGCCGGGAGCCCGAGCCTCGCAGGGCACCGCGGGCGGGCTCCAGCCCGGCTCCCGGGACAGCTCCCTCAGCATCCCCGCTCCGCCCGCCGGGAGGGAGCGCGGGCACGGCGGGGCGGGCGGAGGGGACACGGCCCCGCGGGACGGGGACACGGCTGGCGGCGGTGCGGGGTCTGCAGCAGCGCCCGCCCGGCTGGAGATGCCCCCCCGGCTCGGGTGGATGCGAACCGGGCGGCTGCGCTCGGGGCAATGGTGGGAAGCGGGAGGCTCGGGGGTCGCTCAGGGTCTGACCAGCCCGACAAAAATTCAGCCCCACAATGCTGGGAGAGCCCATCCATGAGGCGCAGCCCGAGGATCCCCGCAGCCCAGGAGCCGCTGCCCCCCGCCCGCCGGACCGTGCCCAGGCTGGGGCGGCCCATGGCATCTCAGTCTGCCCGCGGGGCTCAGCATCCTCCTGCCTCCAACAAGTCCTTGTGCGGGATCGGGACGGGCTTCCTCGTCCCCGGGGCCATCGCGCTCCCCCAGCAAAGAGAGGCCCGAGGGCTGCCCGCCAGCCCCGCGGGGACCCTCTCCTGCCCCGGGGTCTCGCTATCAACAGCTGCCGGCCCCGCTCCTGCCCCGGCCCCGCCTGGCCCCTGCCCGGGGGCTGCTGTCGCCTCCGGGAACTCCTCCCCAGAAGTTAACCCGAAGTTGCGCACCCGCGCCGGGCACGGAGCACACGGGGGGGCCCCGCCGCGGCACCGCACCCGTCCCGCGCGGCCCCAGAGACCCCCCCTCTCCGCGGGGCTCTCCCTCCGCACGCACCTGGATGTACGCCATGGCTCCGCGGGGCTCCGCGGGCGCGCACGGCCCCTCCCGCCGCGCG